TCGAATGCATATTATCTATCATCAAACTTAATCTCTGTTTGTAGTACGCGTGTTGCTTTTGGCAATTTTTAAATGTTGTTATTAGAATTTTAAATTGCAATACAGTGGAATCTACTTAATGGGAACATTGTATAAAAGGGACAAACCGGCAAGGTCCCAAACGAATGTATTCATTTTAGACAATTTAACTTTGTTTATTGGTGACATAGTTTAATTTGTTAAAACCTGTTTTCTTATCAAAACTGTAATTATCTAATCGCTATGTCTCTATTATATTTTATGTAGGTATACAGGTATTATTTTATTTTTGTCAATCAATTCTTATCCTACTACCACATACATATTACATGAAGATATAATGGGTTTTGGAATAAAAATATTTATATAATAAATATATAAATTATAAATGTTCGTAAAATWATGTAAATAGCATAATATTATTTGTCTTATTTTCCATATGCATGGTCAAACTGTGAAAAAAAAATTATTCGATTATTCGGTACAGGCAGATAATAGGCACAAAAAGGTCACCATCCAATGTGTCCCAATTAAGCAGATTCTACTGTATTTGACATACTCATAACGCTTGACAATTTAAATATTTTTAAGCAGTAACTTTAAAATTTATAAAAAATCGATTTATTCTAAACTCATTGCACATAATTAATTCTGTTGAAGTATCCTCTTAAAATCTATCAATATGCTTACACATAACTACACAGTACATATTTTTATTTTATTATTATTATCATTTCTAAAAAGGAAATAAATTTTGAAAACTGAGTAGTGTACAAGTAAAACAACAACTACATAGATTATTTCTGACTGCTATATTATTTAGTGTATCAGTGTATGTCATAAATATCTGACAACTTTTAAATAGAAATCACATTTGAATATTATCTTCTTGGTACACTCTGAGTAATTAAAATTTCATACTATATTATTTATCGACTGTATTAAATAATGTGATTTTTTTATAATTTAGGTGAAACTATTGTTCGTTACGTTGGAAATCAACAAGACAATTCACCTGAACAGCATTATTAAACAATAATATTATGATTTGAACATTGACTATTATTAGTATTACATATTTTGAAAAGAAAGTTGTTGCTTACTCATTTGAATTTTTACGTATAAAAATAATACCAACATTTAATTATCAATATTGGCACTAGTGATTTTTCTTTAACAATTGTTAAAAATGTAGTTATGTTTTGATATCAAATAAAAATCAAATAATATAAACAAAATGTATTTTAACAAATATTTCTTTGTATGAAGATTAAAAATAATAATATTAACCATTACTTATTTGCCGAGCTATAAATTTACTATTATTTTAATTTTGTAAAAAGTTACATTTTTGTGAATATATTTATTAAGAATTCAATTGTTAATTGTTATATTATGATATATTATGTCATGATTAATTTTTAAAGAACAAAAGTTTGATTTTATTTTTATATATTTATAAATTAAAAAAGTATTTTGTTTTTCTAATTTGTCTTATTCTTTATGTGTTCTATTATTTTATTATTCACTCAAGTATGATATTTTTTAAGGGACAATTCTATTTAGTGCATGTTTAACAATCCATAAATCAAAAATTACTTAAGTTAAACTTCTTTATATTTTATAATACTTGTGTTACTTTATAGATATGTAACAAACTCACTTTGATCAAAAGACAACTTTTAATTGTTTTAATAGTTGGTAAGGCTTGACATTAACGAGTTTTTAATGGACATTAAAAATAAGTTAATATAGTAATTTAATATTAACTTCCTTAGATTGGTTACATTTTTAATATATTTGAGGTGTTAACTTCAAGTTAACTTCTTAATTSTATGCTTACTATTTATTTATAACTGTTCCTTTATAAAATATTATAAAATATTATTTTAATCATAGAAATGTCCCAGAATATTTAGAAAATGTATGTTATTGCTGTTATTAGTTTGTACAAATTAATGATTTCTCTTGATATATACTAGTTATTAAATTCTAAATTTATAGTATAATAGTCATATGGGTAGTTTAAAAWAGAACACGAGTTATGTTACGATCAGGGTTCGGAAGTTATGGGAATTGCATAGTATTCTGTATACTCACGATTTATAGTAGACCAAGCAATAAATCCAAGCTATACAATATTGAGATTAAAAATTAAAAATGCGTATTTCTTGGTTTTCATATACATATCATGATATCATGCATATTTAATATTTTCTAAAAAATTGATTTTTTCTCTCTTAAGTTACCAACAGGCCATATTATTTATAACATTTCGGACTGCACATTTAATTTTACTGCTTTCAACAAAAATTGTATGCACTACTATCTTAGAAAAAGCAACGTATTTTTGTATATAATTTATATACACAAATATAAGTATAATAATTTAACAATGCAATCAAATAAAACAACAAAATTCAGGAAATACTGATATTTTCTAGTAGCTAGCATATTTTGTAATTTTTGTGTTGTAGGCCGTAGTGCACACACGTTCAAATCGTARTGCATACTTTTACATTCGTGGTGCACATTGTGTGTTGGGATGCACATAAAATAGGGCCTGTGCCTGGTTACCTATGTATTTTAAATAATCTTATATAATAATGTATAATGTAATAATATATAAATGATAAAGTGATTTAATGCAACAATTTAACATATATTAATTTCGTATTTAACTACAAAAATAATGAATATATATTTTCTTACTATTTTTTCAGTTCAATAAATTGTCAAATGTCAACTGGTTACGTGCCATATTTGAGTTTCCAATAATATAATTTTTTATTTTGTGCATTCATAAATAATAATTAATAACTAATAAAGACATTATATGTTTTGCATATYTATAGCAATTTTTTGTGCCTTTTTTAGCTCCCATAACTTCTGAATCTGAACTCTAGCTATACTGCAGAATGGTTTCCCATTTACAAATTACAACTATCTTACGGCTTACGTCCTAGTAGGTTAGCATGAAAAAAAAATACCTAGGTAGCTTTTGATTTTGCATTTATATTATATTTATTATTTATAATTTTCGTGTATTATAAACATAGTTCTAAAACAGATTATATAATATATTTTTACCTTTACCTATATTTAACTATTTTATTTGTATGTAATTTTATAATTAAAATTAAATTCTCTCTAACTACTTCTACTCTAAACGGGCTCTAGTCATTTTTAAATTATTAGTTAAGTTAATTTTGTTTCCAATAATTTTTAAATTAATAAAGTTAAAAAAAATATATAAGTTAACCTKCCTTGTGCTAGTAGATAAAAGAGAATGCAACTGTCAAGATAAAATAGTACATTAAACATTTATAGCAAAAGCTATTCTGACAAGTGTCTGTCACTATTTTAAATTTTTAGGAAGAACCAATGTTAATATGATGCGATACTTTAAATGGAATTAAACTGGATGCAGATTTTAATTGAAATTAAACTTCTGAAGGAAATTTAAAAAAATTACATGATGTCGAACATAGCTCTTCAGCAAGAATTAAAAYGTACTAAGTAAGATGTGAATGTTGAATGACATTAAAAGATTATATTTTAGAATCTAAAAATTTAGTTTTTGTATCTTGTTATAATTTTTCTTGACTTAATTAAAATCTGGCACTTGAAAATATATGTTTCACTAAGCATTTAAATGGGTACAATATTATATTAAGTAGGTAAAATAATATATTAATATCATTATCATTAATCGTCAACATTAATTTACATTAGAATATAGCAAATAAATCATTATTTGATCAGACTTTAGCCGTAACACAAGTAAACACCCTAAGTTATTTCAGCTGCAAACTGTGAAGTCCAATAATGTTACTATAGTCTATAACTATTTGTAACCAGATATAATCTTACCTTACATAAATAGGTAGGTACTAGGTACTGTTTATAAATCATAATAGAATAGGTATTATTTGTTAATAAAACTATATCATTATATTATATTACAGCAAACTGTATTGAAAATAGTTACAGCTCATTCATAAAACGGGTTAATGTCTGAGTKATGCAGTCTCTTAATAATAAATATGTACAGATTATACTTTACATTTTTTTTAACATGCAGACACAGTACAACAACTCTTATATAGTTGCAATATAAACTTTAGATAAGATAAAATATCAAAGAATTAATTTCCCAAATTTTAATGTTATTCCTATAAGTACAGTACACACATAAATTCTTACGATTTTTCTGATTTTCAGTAGAATTATACAAAATTGAATTATGCTATACATTAAACAGGAATAATTAAA